GTCCAGTTTAGACGGATCCGTGCGGATCCGTGCGGACGCACACGGATTGTGCGGAACTTTGCGGACGCACGTTTTAAAACGCATTGGCAGGTCTAAAAATGGTTGCATATGTGTTCACTAACATATATTTGGAAAGAGAAACATTGTTCTACAAAAATAATGCCACTTTTAAGCCATTTTATTCTCGGGAGGTTTTACTGTACTTTATAAACATATGGCTAAAAAGTGGCATTATTTTTGTTGAACAATGTTCCTTTTTCTGAACATATGTTAGTGAACACATATGCAACCATTTTTAGACCCGCCAATGCGTTTTAAAACGTGCTTCCACAAAGTTCCGCACAATCCGTGTGCGTCCGCACGGATCCGCACGGATCCGTCTTAACTGGACAACCTCATTGCCCTGGCAAGTCGGGGCTTCGAGGGTCAGAGCATTTCTGGTGTCGTCTCGATCATTCAAAACCGGTCTAGGGTGTCATCGTGAACGTCACATTAAGCTATTTTGAGTTCCAAAGACATTAACAAAACGCAGCTTCCGAGATAACCCAGCTGCGTCCAGACAAGAGGGTCGCTTGGGTTGCTTGGGTCGCTTGGGTCTCTCTGCGCTGACTCACCCACAGCGACCCCAACAACCCAAGCGACCCTCCTCTTGTCTGGACGCAGCTCCTCTCTGGCTCGTGGGTGTTAGCAACACCAGCACGCCCCTATTTGTGGCCTCAAAATTGTGGCCAGAGTCAGCTTAATCCGACCCGACTATAGAACACCCCTTTTCGGGTAATATGAAATCCAAAGCATTCAGAGTGTAACCACAAGGTGCTCTGCTCTGCACCTTGTCCGTAACGAGCCGAAAAGCCCAGGATGCGTACAAACCAACGCAATGGTGCCCACAGGGCCCCAAACACGGAGAACAGCTTTTGAGAAGATTGCCTACCCTCCAGGCGCGGTCAGCCCCAACTAGCCACAACTCGTCCCAAAGTCACCCACTCAGTAGGTGCCGCCGCTGCTTGGCGGGCCCGCCTACCCGCCAGGCGCCCTCAGCCCCGGGCCGGAGGCACGCACTGTTTGACGGGGCTGCAAAGCCTCAACACTTGGGGGGATTTTTAGCAGATGATACCTTAAAAACCTTTTGACTAAACGTAAAGAATAGATAAGTAAATTTAAGGTGTTAGCTAGCTTTTACTCTCGAAACGGCAAGGGACCCAGGGTAAAAAAAACCATGATTGTCATGGTCAAATTGAGATTTTGACCATGGGAAACCAAGATTTTAATCATGGACATTGCCTAGACCATGGTGATCACCTATGCCCATCTCCCCAGCCATGATACTCTGCACTGGGTTGACCATGGACAACGACTCAACCATGGACAAGTGTGATGACCACACCACGGTCTACCTTGGCGTGTTCTTTAGATAGTGTAGTTCAGACATGATTACAGTGCGCCATCTCTCGGGAGCTCGCGACACTAGCGACCAAAACGTCATTGTAAACACGGGCAACGGCGCGGGTCATCAACTTTGTGGTTACGTATGCAGCTGCGTCAGTGCTTCTGAGTGTTTTGAAGTTTACGTTTTAATTTAAAGTTTTGATTTTACCTACGAACGCCAGGTTGTCGTCAAAATGCCAATAGAACGCCATGGACTTTTTTAGAATGTAAGTGACTGTCGTCTTTAACGTTTTTCCGGCAAAACGACTCCTAACTAACCTAAAAACAGATTCATAAATAAATTAGTATTTACATCCTATAGATAGTTGAGGGCAGATTTTAGATGTAGGGAACAATCGTGGATCTGGTGTCAGCATATCCTCATCACACCACTAGTAAACAACACTGTGTGAAATGTTTGGTTAGTTTGGTGATATAGGAAACATTTCAAGTCTAGCCTAGGATCAACACGTTGAAATATTATTTATCAAAAGTATCTAAATTTCACTTTTGGTAGTTCGGAAACCTTTAGATATCGTTTATTTT